TTCAAGAGATACCATGTTCGCTGTCTTACACCAGGAGGACAAGGCATCCTTTTGGTTCTGTGATAAACTAGAAATTAGTTGAAAAGGCCTATAGAAGCCAATGTGTCCCAACTTCATAACAGAAAGTCTGAGCAGCAATTCCCGATGGCCTTTCAAGTTCCAGGAGAGTTTCATGGCAGGATGTTCCACAGAGAACCAGCAGCTTCCATGTGCCTGGGAAAGACACAAAAACGACTGCTTTGCACCTGCAAGGATGGGGAGCAAACTGCCAAGAATGGCTACCCCAGACAACTCTAATATCACTCAACTTGGACTTTGTAGATTCATGTTATGGTTAGGCAACTGACATTTCATTCCCCTCCTGTGTTGTGGACGACAACCATCTCTACAACTGTTCAAGAGCATGGTGGCTTTGTACTTAATGCCTTTGCTTTCTTTATGAGTTGGCCATGAGCCTATGGGGACAACAGGTGGAAGGCTGTAGCTTAGAAGAGATTTGGTTCTGTGATGAATGGAGGAAGTCCTGAGTGAGTATGTAAGGAGTGGATGAAGTTCTGAGTGGATGTGCGTTTTTGGCATAAGGTTAGCCATGTCAAGGACACCAGTGTGTCAAACCCATGGCAGTAGGAAGACTTCCTCAGGTGAGGCTCAATGGGCTGGCAAAACTTTCCACTGGCTCACATATGAATGTTGATGGTGTATGTAGTAACTGCCAACCACAACTTCTCTCAGATGGCTGTAGCCTGAGACTGCAGCCTTCCAGAGAACTACAGGGATTGGTTAAACCCACACCTCCTTGTTAGGCTGTTTACCATAAGCCCACCTCAGTGGTACAATCATATGCCTTTTCAATTCAGGCAGCCAAAATAAACACTGAGATTTGGGCTGCTGTCATTGCCTTCCCCCAGAACAAGCACAACCCACCTGATCCCAGCTTTTCTGGAAGTACATCTTTGTGCCTTCCCTTCCCAGTCTTTATTCCCCTGTTGCCCCACTCAGATTTCTAGAGCCAAGCCATGTTGGGCATAGCATGTTTCAGTGTGAAGTTGACGCTCGATGGACTTGTAATGGTCATTACTGTCAGTTTGTCAGGATTTAGAACCACACATATCCATATGGGAATTTGTACACTGGGCTAATCACAGTTGGAAGACCCACCCTGAAGGCAGGTGATGTCATTCCATGGGCTGCTGTCCCAGACTGAATGAAAAGGAAAACTTGAGCTGACTGCATCATTCATCTCTCTCTGCCTCTGACTGGATCCCATGTGACCATCATGGTCTCCTCATTTAGCTCAGGTTCTGCAGCATCTGAGACTCTAGCTTCCAGGACTGGCTCACACTCTGGTCCACTGAGACAAAAACAATTGTAACATACTTTATGTGAAGGGTGCTCTTTTACCCTTTACTGCAAGATTTAAAATCACATGGGCCCCCACGCTTCTGCTGCGTGACTGAATCTCCTCTTTAGCAATCTTTAAACTACACAGATGGCAAGAAACACTAGAGCAGGTGCTTCTCAGATGCAAGTGAAATTGTGAAGGTCAATGCCATTTGGTCACAAATACTCAGAATTGGTACCGCTAAAAGGGACAAATGCTGTGGAGGTTTGGATAACAATCACCCACCCCATAGGCTCATGTTTGAATGTATGGTCACCAATTAGTGGAATTCTTTGGGGGAATAGTAGGAAGTATGACCTTATTTTGAAAACTTTGAAGTTTCAAACGCTCACAGCATGCTCAATCTCACTTGTTTTCTCTGCCTACAACTCCCTCTGCAACTTGTAGATGTGAGCTCTCAGCTACTTCTCTAGCACCATGCCTGCCTGCCTGCCTGCCTGCCTGCCATGCTCCCCACCATCGTGATAATGGACTAACCCTCTGAAACTGTAAGCCAGCCCCCAATTAAGGACTTTTTTTTGTGAGTTTATTTAGAAAGGGGAGTGAGGGGGGAAGGAGGAAACACAGAGACACTGGGAACAGAAGAGAAGAGAAGAGAAGAGAGGAGGGGGTAGAGGAAGGGGGGAGAGAGAGCGAGCATGCGAGCTAAATGCTTTCTTTTATAAGTTGTTTGGTAATGGTGTTCCTTCATGGCAGTAGAACAGTAACTAAGACAAATGCTTAACCATTCTGTTAACCATTCGCATTCTCTCTCTCTCTCCCTCTCCCTCTCCCTCCCTCCCTCCCTCCCTCTCTCTCTCTCTCTCTCTCTCTCTCTCTCTCTCTCTCTCTCTCTCTCTCTCTCTCTCTCTGTCCTTTATCCACAATTAATTATAAATATCCACTAGCCACTATTGCTATATTCAGGAAAAAGTGTCAGCCATCGATGGCACATTTCTGCTCTTTAAACAGAGACTTCAGAAACAAACACCTGTAACTCCAGTTGTTCTGGGGGCTGACACAGAATGATCACAGAGCCTGAGTCACAAGCAAGACCCTGTGTCAAGATAAGAGCTAAAACTTAAAAGGGCCTGAGGGTGTAGGAAGCAGAGCACGTGCCTGTGTGGGGCCCTGTGCTCCATTCCCTGCACTCAAAAACCAACTGGAAAAGAACAGGTGTGTTTGTGCTAGATACCAGCTTAAGCTGTTTAGATGTTTAGAAGTCTCCAGTCACTTCTTAGCATTTCTTGCAGTAGTGATTTTATGCTCCAGCTGCCTTTCCACCCCCTCTCCCACCTCAGGTGCCCCCTCTGTCTCTCGTCTGACCAGCTAAGTTAATTTCAGCTGCTTAAAGGCTCTCTTTTCCGCTCAGCACAGCTGCTCGGCTTGCTTGAAAGCCACTTCCTGTCCTCCTGAGGTTGCCTAGGTAATCATAATCAATTGACTAGATGGCCGGTCACTTTCTCACACAAGCTTTCTCTGACCCTTGAGAATGAATCATATCCCCAATTCTAGACTTTCTCCCCATGGGAATTGTCATCACGAAACTGGGTATAGTCGTATAGACCTGCAATCCAGGACTCCACTCCGAGGCTGAAGCAGAAGGATCCCCAGTTCATGGACAGACGGACATTGTCTCAAAACCACCAGGGGTTGGGAATATAGCTCAGTGGTAGGTTGCTTGTCTATTATATACAGGCTCCTGGATTCATCTGACAATGCCACAAAAAGTTGCCACCATCTGAACGATGTACAGAATAGTGATGGAGTAAATGCTGGTCTTCTGTTCAGCTTTGGTCATTGAAGGCAGGGACTTTACCATTTTGCCCTCAACGTTTAGTGCAATGCCTCACACACAGTAAGGACTCAGTAACAATGGGCCAGGTGTGGTGGTACATATTATACTCACTGCACCCACGAGACTGAAGCAGGAAGATTGCCTGTTTGAGACTATATAGTGGGATCCTGTCTCAAAAATTAAAAAAGAAAAAAAGAAAAGAAAAAAGGAAAAAACATCTGCTGATTGAACAAAAAAAATGAACAAATGAATGTCATAAATTTGTTCCTAGTCAAGGTAGCAAAGCTGAAACAATAGCCAGTTTTTTGTTTGTTTGAGACAGGGTCTCAAGTATTCAAGGCTGGTCTCAACTACAAAATGTAACCTAGGCTGTCGTTAAATGGCTGATCATCCTATCTCTACCTCCCAAGTGCTGAGATTATAGGCTTGTCCCACCTTGACAACCACAGCCAATTATTGTAATTTACAGTTCTGATCACTAGACTTCTGAACAATGAACTTGTCCTGAATTTCATTCTGAATCATTGGAACCACGGCAAATTCACAAGCCATCGAGTCCAATTTCTCTGCCCTACCATTTCCTTCAGATGGCTCTTATTTAGCAAGGGGATGCTGTAGGTATAGTCATTTTTTCATTTTCCTGTGTAGTGTATGCTGTCTGGATGCTTCATCTCGAATGGGTTATTATAATAAACCATGCCACTATTTCTAAGAAGAAGATACCATGTGGAGGTCAAAAAGAGCAATTTTGTCTTTTGCAATAGCGTTTCTTCTTCAAAAATGCTGCTACTTTGAAAACTGACACCTCTCAAAGTACATCTTATTAGATGGATAATCATCATCATATTCCCAGTCTAAACATGAGAAAAGAGACAGCTACTTTGCTGTGTGGAAGTGGCTCGTGTGTTTTATAAAATTCATGTAATATGGCCAGTGGTTCCCGAAGCAGCTGATGTACTTAAAAGATAAATAGGTTACCCCTGAAGATGCTGGGAGACATGCCTCTCAAGGGTCTCTGTGCCATGGATGAAAACAGAATCATTATTTCTGAACTGCCTGTGCTCACGTCAGTGGCTCCTCTTGCAGCCTGTCCACTGGTTATAAGAACCGGGGAATCACTGGCAGATCATAGGCGGGGGCCAGGTGAAGCCAAACTCTTGGTAAGCTTTACAGCCTTTGTCTGTGTTTCAGCTTCCTTGTAACAACCTGAGATGGAAAATAATCTCTACTTATGCTGCTGTGGGATGTGTCTATCTGAGAGGTGTATGTCTGGGGCAGTTCTCAGTTTATGGTACTTTAATCTTTTTTGTTGCTATTTTAAATTCTTCTTTTCTATCTCCTCTTCCTTCAATTCTCTTCCTCCTCATTTTTCTCCCCCTCTCTTTGTATCTGTCTTTCTCTCTCTCTCTTTTTGTAGAAGCAGGGATTGAACCCAGGGCTCTGTGGGTGCTAAGCAATCACTCTACCATAGAGGTATACCCCAGCCAAAGCACGTTCTATTCTCTACTGTTTTATTTCCACTTAAAAAAAAATAATCTGCTGACTCAAGACACAGATTTTTAGACTTAAGATTTTTATTTTAAATTTTGCACTTTTTTAGAGACTACATAATTTAAAGATGCAGATGGCATACCTATACTTTTTAGGTACAGTCACCTTGCTTTACTCAGTACAGTATAGTGTTTCCATCATTGTGAAGTGTTTTAAGCTAGTCCACTAAATTTCAAGAGCTTCATTTGCAGACAAACCAAAAAAATGTTTATAAAATTTAGGCAAACCAATATGCTATTTCTTCCCCCTTTATCTGCCTGGATCCTTGCTTCTTTCTCTTCTGACTGTCCCAGTGACCATAGTTTCCCCTTTTATACAGCGCCATGTCCAAAGCACCCCTCCTGCTGCTCTGGGCTGCCCTGGTACTGACCAGCCATGTGTATGGAACCATGCTGAGAAATGAAGATTCATGGAAGCCACTGAGCAACCCCAGAAACAGAGAACTGGTAAGAACACACCTGGGGAACATCGGCTGAGGGATGCAGCTGGCACCTTTCAATGATTATATGTAGGCAACTAAGGGTTGAGAATATTCTCATCAGGACAGCACTAAATTTTGCTTTCCTAGTAGCTGGCATCCTAACATTTCTTTAAGTTACATTTGTTTATATACGGAGAAACAAGTGTAGCATAGAAGTGAGTTTATACATATACAATACATCACATTTGTAAGTGGTCTTATATATCCACCAACATTAGAGCATTGATTCTAATATGCAAACAATATGAAAAGAGTATTGGGACTTGACTTTGTTTCAGAAAGCTCACCTAGCATGCACAAACCTGGGTTTGGAACAGCAGAAAAAGGGAGAAGGGAGAGAGAGAGACAGACACACACACACACACACACATGCAGAGACAGAGAGAGAGAGAGAGGAAAGGGAAAGCAAGAGAGAATCACTTTGTGATGATAAAACAGATATCCCACTACAGCATTTGCAAAACTTTATTTGCAGAAACTGGAAGTGGACCCTGGGTAGTTGTCGATTTCAAGCATACAGATACCTAGAAACAGAATTCAAAATATCAATAAAATACTCTATACCTAGATCAACATTATTGTTGCCATGACTATTTCAAATGTAGGTTTTTCTAAAGAAAGTGATGTGAGCTACAACAAGGTGGGTTAGGAGCCATCAAGCACAGCTGTTAATTTGCTAAAAGGTATCTGAAAAAGAGACAGTGATCCAGGAGAGTAACTGGGCTCCCCTCAGGCAGAGGAGAAAGGGAGCTGACCACCATGGAGTTTGGTTTCATCTCTCACCTTGCTGGTCAGAGAAGGTTCACAGAGTGTCTGCCTGATGTATGATTAATTGTTTATGCCTTCCCTAATTTGCCACCAAGAATGTTGAACTGTCTTGTGAGAGCTGAAATGTCAGAAAGCAGGCAGACTTAGAAAGAAACAGGAGAAGCTTAAAGTCATTCTAGATCGTCAGCGTCCTGCCTCTCTGGTTAGTGTTTAAGTCAGTTCAGGGAGAAGAAAGGCAGGGAAATAAACAGAGGACAGAGGGGCTCTGGGCACTTGGATGCTTCATTTAAAGGCACTGAGCATTTTCTTTGTCTCTAGTTTTTCAGAAGCCTCCTGGCCTATTTTAGGGGCAGAGGACTTGATCTTGAGAGACTTCCAAAAGCCTTCTCCATGAATGAGGACTCCAGACCTCTCTCTTTGCAGGCGGAACATATTGCTTCTGCGTTTGCAGACTACGAGGAACACAAAAACTCCCTCCCTAGTTCCCATAAAGGCTGAGCCCAGGTACTGCTGCTCCTTCTGACCCAGGGTCTGTTCAAGCACACAGCCACGCAGGAGAGATTTTGAAAAGATTTTTTAGAATTTGGTCCTCAGTTTTGAATATACTCATCACTATTAAATATTTAGATTTTGCTCAGGCATTTCATAGTCTGGTTTTTAAAATAAGTGATAGTAATGATGTTGAAGCATAGCTTTCTAGAGAGAAGCGCATTAAAATCATAGAATTGTCAGTCTTACAAAGACCTTTAAATTAAAGAAAGAGCACAGGGCCTTAGGTATGCATTTTTTTTCCAGGCCTGGTCATATAGGTAAGTTATATAGAAAACTATATGTAAAGAGATATGTTAATTACTCAGAATAAATGGGAAAGTTAAAAGAGTAGTTATTTTGAAGGAAAAATGTTGTGCATATCTTTGATCTTGAATTTCCTCACTTAGAAAAGCAAGTTACACTATTAGCAAAGACAGCATTTTTCTTATAGGAAAACATTTAAAATGTATTTATAGTTAAGATTTGAAGTTCATTTTTTGCATTATCAAGCAAATAGGTATGGTTTTAGAAGCAGCAGGTATGCTATATTCAAAATGTTATTATTTTAGCTTGTTTAGCTGACCAATAAAAGTAATGGGGTCATAATTAAATCCTTCCCAATTTTTTCCAAAGTGCATGCATTTCTTGTGAGTTAGTAACCACTGTTCTTTATTGCATTTGTAGAAGGCTTCCCATGATTAATTCCCTTGAATATGACAGGAGATGGTTGTTATTCTAAAAAGATGGAATTTAACTTGTGGAATATGAGAAAATAAAATAGGGCAAACTATGACATCAAGGAGCCTTCTCTTGAATGTTTTTCCATGCAGAGACTCTAGGGAGTCTAAGACAGAGTGCAGTTACTCCCATTGTAATGCCTGCTCAGTGTGAAGTGATGTCATCACTACTACACTACTAAACTCTAGCTCATACGATAACTCAGAGAAAACAAGATAAATACTCCTGTGATGTGGATGAGGGATTGCCTAAGGACAGAAGGCAAAGCACACAGAAAGAACTTATCTTTGTAGAGGAGACAGCTTCCCTTGTGTCTGGATTATGAGTCCCTCATTCAGCTGTTTCTGTTACTGATTTGGCTTCGTTGTATCAAATGCTCACTATTGTCCTACACTGTGAGTCTCTCTTGCTTTTTCAGGTGTCGCCATGTTACAGTTAGAGAGAAGCTTTTCAGTAGAAAATTCAACTACGGCTGAAGTCTTGCGTGTGTTTTCCCTTCCATACTAGTCAGTAGTTACTTTATTTTACATTTCCAGATTTTACCTGTAAACAGTTGGACTTTTGGAACATATAATACTGACATGAATATTTCAGGAGTATTTTTCCCTTTCATGACCTTAATTATTGAGTGGAAGATTGCATGTATCTGAAGGACCTACAAAAATACCACAGGTGAAATGAAATAATTTTCCAAATTAGTTATTTTCCTAGAGCCTGATTTAAAATCATCTTTTTATTTATTACCTATTATCATGCAGTATTTTTATTTAAACAAGATGTGTTTGCTCTTACTACCGTGTACTATACGTAATAGGGATTCAGATTTGTTTGCTATAGTTTATCATATGTGACAGGGATTCCGACTTTGTCTTTTTTTTCCTTCTAAAAAGATGATGCAGTCCCATCTTTAGCTTGTGCTATTGAAAGACCTCATCACCTACTGAATGAGGGTGATGAACATTCAAGCGGAATTGACATAGAAAACAACAGGATTCTAGTTGCTGCAAAGTCTCTGGGAGATGCTTTCATGCTGTGTTCAAAGCTAAAAACTGTGCCATGTCAAAAATCCCATCTTCACCCTAGCCTTACTTTAAATACAAGTCACTCAACACGGGGCGGTAGCAAAAGGTGAATTCTCCACTCCTCCAACCAAGCCACTCTCCTTGTCATAGCTCACACCGAGCCATTCGGAGTCCATGTTTTCATCTGATATAATTACCTTTTCTCTGTTTTTATGAATACTGGCAATGTTTCTGTGTGATCCAAGCAAGGGACAGTGTCCCAGAATTCACACAGCACTGTTTTGGTATCATTAGTCTGTGTATTTCAAAACATTTTACTGTAGCTTTTTGAGGACTGTTGATGCTGAATATGAAGAATAAAATATTTGTGCAAGAACAAGTTCTGTGTCTGGCTTAGTATATTCTACTGCAGTTAATTGTTGAAGTACCTGTTTCTGGAGGGCTGTGAGATGCTTGTAAGCAGGAACCATTATGGGATTCATTGTTAGCAGTATGGGATTCATTTGTTGTTCTCCAGAAGCTAGCTAGCTAGCACAGTGTCTGTCCTATGGTGGTTGTTCAGTGAATACTTGATAAATTCAAGTGTGTATCCCATCCTTCCCACAGTATTAAATGTAAAGCAGAAGATGCTTGAGTTAACAAGATCATTTTTCACCATTTAAAATATAAGCAATTATCAATGAGTTATTCCTCATTAAAGTTTAGCGGCTTATTCGGGTAAATGGCTGGATGAGGGGCTTCTCACATCTGTGCAGTTCCTGAGTGAGAACTAGAAACAGTTTTCCCTTCCTCAGCACCACGGCTAATCTAGGCAAGTACTTATTAATTTCAGAGTCCTCGAAACTGATGGGTACCTGATGGGGGATGTACTTCTGTATATATATTTCTCTTATTGATTGATTACTAAAACACTGATTAGCTAGGAGCCAGGCAGGAAGTTTAGGCGGGGCTACCAGACCAGGAGAATTCTGGGGAGAGGATGCAGAGAGAGGCTGCCAGAGAAGACACCATGTAGATGCGGAGGGAGCAAGATTCTCTGTTAAGATAAGACCATGTGGAAATACTTAGATTAATAGAAATGGGTTAATAATTAAGAGAGCTAGCCAATAAGAAGCCTGAGCCATTGGCCAAACAGTTTCTAATTAATATAAGTCTTTCTGTGTTTATTTGGGGTGAAATGGCTGCAGGACCAGGAGGGACAGAAACGTTGTCTTCAAGTACCCTCAGGTTATGAGCTTGTAAATGACAGGGCAGAGGTATGCACCTTCAGCTTAGAAATTCCTCCCCAGGGCATCTGTGTGTCTAATAGTGGGTTTAATTTTATAAAGTTAGCCCTATTGGCAATTGGGGAAAGCTGCCTTCACAATATGAGACCGTTTGCACACTTGTTTCTCAGATACTGCAGTTAGAACCTCCTTTGACTCTATCACTTTGCTACCTAGAACACCTCCACACATTTTTCTGAAGCCCAAAGGAAAGGCAACTGGTACTCAGGAGGCACGGAGTTGAAGTGTTTCCTCTAGTGGAAGCAAATGTACTTCAAATGCAGTAGTCTGTCAAGAGTACCTTGGTGCATTTCTATATAGGTCCATAGCAACCTTTCCAGCCAACTCTGCTCCTCTTCAACGAGGAATCCATTTCCAAGATAAGTATATGGCCATTATCCCCTGTTCTGGATCTAGTGTGGTCAAGAGCTTCTGAGAGCGTTGCAATTTTTAGCCTACTTGCAAAATACTATCCTTAAACGTTTCCCCCAATCCTGGCAGACAATGAAGGTCCTAAACAGAGACAACAGATCCAATGACTCAGGTGTGGCAGGGAACATGACTCATACTCTCACTGAGTTCTTAGTCCTGATTTATTGAAGGAGGCATGTGAACATAGGCCCAGAGGTATACTGGAAATAGGTGTGCTTCCACCAAAGCTGAAGAGCTCAAAATATAGGAAACGCTACTTTTTATAAGACTGTTAGGGAGGAAAAAAATCTAACTTTTGCCTCAGAGGGAAATAGTATCTTTATTATAGAAGATATCTAGGATGGGTGTGGTTTTTGCACAACTTTAAACCCTACAATCAGGAGGCAGAGGCAGGTGAATCTCTTCAAATTCATCCTGGTCTACTTAGTGAATTCCAGGGTAATCAATGATAAGAGAGGACAGGAGTGGAGGAGAGGAAGGGGGAGGAGGGACGGAGAGAGCGAGAGATCTCCACCCTATCTCAAAATAGCAAAAAAAAAAAAAAAAAAAAAGTATGCTCCCTGTCCCAGAATGACATGTTTACTTTCATGATGTTTGATCTACAAAGATGAAGTGCAGGAGAACCATCCACAAGCTTCTGCAGAGGAGTGAGAAGGTCCATGGAGAAATGTCTCTCCAGGAGCATCACAACAACTCCTGTGTCCTTCCCTAACAAAAGAATAGAGTCACTCTCTGACCTCTGTAAGTCAGTTGTAATGGCATAAATTCAATGTTCTGCTTCCCTTTAGGTCTTTCCATTTTGAGTGTCAAAAATCAGTCTGAAAGACCCAATTGCTTCTTCTCGGTATTTTCATTACTACTGTAACAATTCCATTCCATCTCAAGGTAATGTGGCTGTCTCTGACTCACTCATGGACCAATCATTGCAAGGAAGTAGAAAACGAACAAACAAGTGAAATTTGAAGACACTCTGCTACATTTTGACCTCTAAAAATTCCCCATGTCCTGAAGATGGTCCTAAGCAGAACATATGTCCTCCTCCTACCTCTATCTGAAGTCCCCTTTCTCTTTAATATGTATCTGTACCTATTAACTTGCCATTCTCATATTCCAATCAGTCAGCAGTAACAGAAACCAGCCTAAGCACGCATGTCTTGAATGTTTCCTTACCGGAAACTACCCCTCTTCCCTTTCTTTTTCCCCCTTAGAGTTAGTGTTGGCAACTTCTTAGACACGGTTCCCCAACTGACTGAAGTCTTCAGGGGAGTAATCCTCTGCAGTTTCCGAGGATTACATTAATATACTCCATCTGCTTGTGTTTTCATGTCTGCATAGGACAATGATGATCCTTCCCCCATGAGAAACACAGTGACTCCCAACTGAGATATTTTTCTGTCTTTTGGCAGTCTTGCTCTTGCTGGTCCTGCCTTCTGATCCTGCTACAGTTCACCTTCACCTGGATTATCCTAACGATGGTCAGAGGTAGCCTGTCTCTGGAGTCAGGAGTAGGCTGAGCACAACTCCTTTGCCCAAAGTTCCAAAGGCTCTTTTAGTTTCATTCAACTTGATTTAACAAATCTGTTGAGTATTAGGTTATTAGGTTAGTCAGGTTTATAATGACATATAAGCTAATTTTCTCCTGGGTTATAGGTAGTGCCTTTAGAACAGGACAGAGAAATGAAATACCTATAATACAAGGTAAGATGCAAAACCCAGGAGCTCACAGGAGTTGAAAATAACCTGCCCCTAGGCCTCCCCTGCCCCGTGTGGGTATGGCATATGCATATTTGACCCCTCCCCCACCTTTCCACCTCAGGTGTTGCCCTTCTCCTTTGGTATCACATGTGATCTATTAGCATCCCCACACCTCTCCCTTAAACCCTTTTTCTTCTCTCGTGGGTTTCTAAGGATTATTTTGAGAGATATATGTAATAGGCAAAAGAATAGTCATCCTATGTGAGGAATCTCATTCCCTTGTAAAAAATTTGAGTGTTCGGGACAGAAAAGTCGATTGACGTTAGAGCCAGAAACCCAAGCAAACGCTCTGGCCTGAGCTGCATCCCAGATCAAAAGTCTCCTTTAGCGAGTAGCCCAAGCGAAGCTGGCCCCTGAAAGATGCCTTCGGATAGCCCTCTGCCTGCAGGGAGAGGCCCGGGAGCCCAGAGTGCCGGCGGAACTCGAGTGCGCGGGCGCGGCGCGGCCCGGGGAGGTTTCTGCGGCGGACGCCTCTCTCGAAGGCGCCCGATAGAGCCCGGGTGTTCCCGCTTTCCCGGTCTGCTTCCCCGCTTCGGCCCCGCAGACATGTCGGGGTTCAGCCCGGAACTTATCGACTACCTGGAAGGGAAAATCTCCTTTGAAGAGTTCGAAAGGCGGAGAGAAGAGAGAAAAAGCCGGGAGAAGAAAGTGAGTCGCTGGGCCGCGGGGCTCCTCGGTCTTGTTTTCCCGAAACAGCGGCGTGCGGGGCCCAGGGACTCCCGCAGCTTCTTCCTCCCCGAGAAACTCCGGTTTTCACCCCCCACCCCCACCCCGAACTCAGCGTCTCTCAAGACATCCCGCCTCTCAAAAGCAGGCCTCGGTGGGCGCGAACCTCCCGGGCTCCATAGTGTTGATTCGACCGTAGCCCAGCGCTCTCTAGCTAAGTGGAGCAGGAGTCTGGAGCAGGGTAGTCTTGACTCGTCTAACCCTGGTCTTGCCACTAGGTTGTCACCGTGGGTAGGCCTTTTGTTTTTATCATGTGTACACCGGAATTGGGGACCAACCTTAAGGCCTCCAGTTTGCTGGGCAAAGCGCCCCTCCCCTCGAGCGCCTATTTTTGAGGAGTCACGGTGTAATTTTGTCTTAGACAGAAAAGTGAACGTAGTTGCCGGATAGCAATGATATTTTTCTGACTTTGTTTTTCAAATTTTAATCAATTTCTGAGCTTTAAAAATGTTCTCACCTTGCGGGGCGGTGGTGGCACACGCCTTTAATCCCAGCACAGGACAGCCTGATCTACATGAGTTCCAGGACAGGCTCCAAAGCTAGAGAAACCCTGTCTCTAACCCCCCCCCCCCAATGTTCTCGCTTATTTGAAGGCCACGGGAACATAAAGTCTGTTGGCTTTTGAAGTTAGACTTTGGTTTCTTACTGATTCATGGATTATTAAGCACCCTATGTTTTATTTAAAGTGTTAGATTAGTGAAATTAAAATATTTAAAATGATTTTGTACTTACTTGCAAATGACTTACATAAGCTAAAGACTTAAGTACTTTGAAATAGTCTGAAACTATTCAAATTTAGATTCCACACCCCACAAGTGGAAGTTCAAGATTTAAAAGGTAACACAAATGCTCAGGCCCAGCCCTGGAGAGTTAAATTTGCATTAGTTTTTGAGCTGTTTAACTAATTCTCAATCACAGAGCCCTCAGGAAAAAGGAAAATCATCACCCCAAGAAAACCCAGATGATTCAGAAGTCCCATCATCATCAGGAATCGACTCTGCGAAATCCCAGGACAAAGATGCCAATGAAGGTGTGTTGAGTTCCTTTGCTGCCAGCTTTAAGTGTTAAGAGCACTTAAGCAAAATGATTTAGTAAAAACATCCTTTGCTTTCATTGTAATGATAGTCTGTTTTTATTACCTGGTTTATCAGTGTTTGGTACACAGTATCTACTTAGTATTTTTTTTTTTTAACTGTTGATTTAACAGTTTAAAACATGATGGTTGTTTTGGTATAGCTCCAGTGTTGGGGAATCTAAAATTGATCCCAGGATTTATTAGGGCCTTTTAATTGTCATTTTCTAAATTGATCTTCTCAGTGGGAGAATTCTTCCAGACAGTACCAAATTATACAAACTTACACCTGCTTAGATGGAACTTCATATGGGTATTTTGGTGTGCTGCCTCACTCTAGCATCCACAAGGGGATGCTGTTAGCTTGACAAAGACTAGAGTCTGTGGACCATTTGCTTGATTAATGATTGATGTGGGAGGGCTCAACAGCCCAGCCTATTGTGGGTGGAGCCAATCCTGGCCAGGAGGTCCTGGGTTGTATAAGAAAACAATCTTAGCAAGCTTTGGATTGCAAGCCAAAGAGCAATGTTCCTCTGTGGTCTTTGCTGCAGTACATCCAGCTGCTTGTCTCACTCCTGCTCTGGCTTTTCTGGATGATGGTCAAATAAGCCCTCTTTTCCTTAAGTTGATTTTAGTCACTGTTTTATCACAGTGACAGAAAACAAACTAGGACACCGGACTTAGCTTTTCATACCAGATACTGTATTTGGTTGGTACATCTGGCCTAATTAAGCTCATTACAGCCTAAATGAGAACCTAAATGAGTACAGATATTTATCAGATCCTAGTGATTGATGTATATATGTCTAGTGATCAGAATGCTGATAGCTGATTTGTCTCTGTCAAATTATTTGGGCTGCTGGTGTCACATAGAATGTACTTCAATTTAGGAGCCTGGTAGGTGAGTTCAGTTGAGCTCAATTCTTGTGTGGTACTTTGCTCTCAGAGCAAGTAAACTTGTGCATGCAAAACTCACACTTTATCCCTGAGTTTTTGGACCATGTTGGAAGAAGAGACAAGGTGACAAGATTGAGGTTTGTGTCTTCAAGGCTGGTGGGGTAGGAATGGTCTGAAGAAGCATTGGCAGCCTGTGTCTCCTCCTTACCTGCTTGGGGAAAGGCGAGTTCTTCAGTAGACAGTCTCTGGAGTAGACTTACAGCAGCAGTACCACTGATGACTGCCAGCCTTACTATTTAAGGCCATTAGGCCTTCCATGTGGGGAAACAGGTGTGGGAATAAGTTCAGTTGAATCCATTTCTGGCGGATAAGAACTGACTGGCCTCAGCTTATGTGATCCTGCCAGTCCTTTAGAACTGTTCCTTAGGAAGGATTATCTGAACTCTGGAGATTCTTGGTAGTGTAAGCATGCATTCAGAATAGATGAAAGGTCACTTTGGACAAGATCTGGCAGAATCTACAGATTGGAAAGATGAGGGCTCTAGAATCGTATCTTTTTTCCCTTTGATGTTTCTGAATACCAGTTGTAAAGGACATTTCCTAATTACCATAAGATTGAGCCTTTTAATTTCATCTGCAGTTCATTATTGTTGATTCATAAATCTACTGTCCTTTGATCCCAGCTACTAGGGAGTCTGTGTCACATGGATCCCAGGTTCAAGACCATTCTGGGCTACAGAATGAGTTCAGGGCCAGCCTGAGCTTAGTGAGACTCTGTCTCAAAAAGAAAGTGGAGCTCAGGACACAACTCAGTGTAGGGTACTTATCTAGCACAGTGCATGCAAGGCCCTGAGTTCAACTCCTCACAACTTACATGAATTTTATTTTTTAATTTTTAAAATAACTTTGCCAGGTAACTGTGTATTCTGACAGATTGTATGTACAATCTTTTGGATTATATACAGTATGATATGTCTTCTGTAAATAATGATAATTTTATTTCCTTAAGCATGTGTACATTGTGTGCACATGTGCCCATGTATACATGTATGGAGGTCAGAGATGGACATTTAGGTGTCTCCTTTTATCACATTCCAGCATGTTTTTTGAGACAGGCTTTTTTTAGTGTCTTAGTTACTGTTCTATTGCTATGAAGAGACACCATCACCACAGCAACATGTATAAAGGAAAGCATTTAATTGGGGGCTTGCTTTCAGTTTCAGGGCTTAGTCCATTATTATCATGGTAGGGAGCTTGGTAGCAGGCAGATGTTGTGCTAGAAAAGTAGCTAAGAGCTACATCTGGATCCTTAGGCAGAGATGGGTGGGGTGGGAGAGGGAGAAAAAGAGACACCGGGCCTGGTAGGCTTTTGAAATTTAAAAGCTCTCCCCTCCAGAAAGACCACACCTACATCACACCTCCTAATCCTTCTCCCATAGTGCCATAGAGCCTGTGGGAGCCATTCTTACCTAAATAGCCTCCCTCACTGAACCTAGAGCTCACCAGCTGGCTACATCAGTTGGCTGACAAGCTCCCATCTTGTCTTTATCCTCACACCTCTCAGGTCTCAGGTACAGGTCATCATGCCACTAGGCTTCCGTAGGTCTTACATCTGTGCCTTGAACTGATAAACTGTTTCCTTCTCTTTTACCTGTTAGGTGTATGTGCTTTTGATTTTGCTTGTATGTCTGGATGAGGCATAGAGGGTGAAATGGCCATTTCTGCAGAGTAAGAAGACATTTCTTTGTGATAGCTTTTTTTTCTTTTTTGGGGGATGGGGAGGGTGCTCATTTGTCATTACTTTAAACTTCATTGTTGCTGTGGTTAGGAATTTGTACTCTAAGAACTAACAAGTTTTACAAGTTGTTTTACTGATTCGCCCTCCCCCCCCAACCCCCAATGTACCTTTCCTTAGGAGAAACATCAGATGGAGTGAGTAAGTCAGTTCACAAAGTCTTTGCTTCCATGCTTGGAGAGACTGAAGATGATGAAGAGGAGGAGGAAGAAGAGGAGGAGGAAGAGGAAACACCTGAACAACCCACCGCAGGCGATGTATTTGTGTTGGAGATGGTTCTCAACCGGGAAACCAAAAAAATGATGAAAGTAAGTTGTTATTTTCTTACTTATAAAAATGTAGTCATTGAAAGAAAGCTTCCAGTTATAGTTGGGGAGTTGTTTAGCAGTGAGAACAAAAACTGGGAGGCAACTATCTCATTTCTTTTTAAATTTTAATTTTGATTTCATATATATGTCCTGTATTTCCCACCCTGACTTCGCCCTCCAACCCTTCCTGTATCATCTTTATGCCCCCCTCTAAAGTCATGGTCTTTTATTATTTGTGTGTGTGTGTGTGTGTGTGTGTGTGTGTGTGTGTGTGTGTGTGTGAGAGAGAGAGAGAGAGAGAGAGAGAGAGAGAGAGAGAGAGAGAGAGGGAGAGAGAATAAATACAACTTGCTGAGTTCATTCAGTGTTGGTTTTTATGTGTATGTGTTTAGGGCTAACTGCTGGGAATTGGTGACCTATCAGGGTTACTAATCTCATTCTCCTTCCCTTTCTCTGCACACTGATTGCTGTAGCTCTTCATCTAGGGCTGGGATTTCCCCCATCCACATTATCATGTCAATTGGCACTGTCATTTTTCAGGTATTACTTGGGTAACCATACCCAAGAGATTTCATTGGTGCAGTTTCACTGCTGTAGATAGAAGACACTGTCTCTACAGACATCCTGGTTCTCTGGCTTTTAAAAATCTTTTCACCGCATTTTTGCGATGTTCCTGAGCCTTAGATAGGAGTTGTGTTGTAGACTGTCATTTTGACCAGTTGTGGTGCTGCAAAAAGATGTTTCTTTGATGAGGGGTGGGAGAAATACTGTAGATATAAGGATTTAGAACATAGAAGTTATTCTGGTTTTGGAAGGTAAGTTCTTCTTTTGGTTCCATGGCTTCACCAGCCATGAGTAGTTGCCCAAGTTTACAGTACCAGGCATACATTCCCTCTTGTTGAATGGGATGAGTCCAGGAAGATGGCTGTTGGTTCCCAGTGTTTATAGGTGATGTGCACTTTTCAGAGTATCTTGCTGTTCTGGTCATAGTTGTGGTTTTAGGCTGTACGGCTAAAGAGGACTGTTTAATGCTTTTCTCCTTTGTCAAAGGAGAAAACCTTTATTACGAGAGTTAGTCCTCTGGGAGGAGACTTTTAGGCCAGTGCTAGCTCTGTTCCTCCATCCTCTGTCTGAAGTGTGTTTTGTCTTCATGGAGAAAGTCTTTCTTTGACTTCTTGTAGGCAACAAGGACCATGCAAAGGCCTGTATTGTTTTGTGGGGTGGAGTCTTTTGTACTCTTCTGACCAACTGGAAAGGACACCTCCTGTGCCTGGCATTGGGGTTTTTGTTTGGTGAACTATCACTCTTTGTGGGGAGCATTATCACCCCTAGTGGCATAACTTCATTAAACACTCTTTCTTGTATATAAGTTTTAAGTAAAAATAAACTACTTACTATGATTTTTATGGCTTTTTCAAGCATCTTTTGTTCTTTTTTTTCCCGGGTAAGTTGCTAACCTGCTTTGCCCATTTCCCTTTCATAACACATATGTCCTGTTATTCCTTTCTCTAGATATAACACCTTTCCCCGCCTACCAGACAAACTTTCCATGTTTCCGTAGTTACTCCAGAAACTGTATGCTCACATCTGAAGACTTGGAGTTAGGATCCATAAATACAAGAACACATGACAGTTGTCTTTCTGGGTCTGGCTTACCTCACTCAGTATAATATTTATAGTTTCATTCATTTACCTGCATATGCCATGATTTAATTTTTCTTTATAGCTGAATAGTATTCCTTAGTGCAATGTGTGTGTGTGTGTGTGTGTGTGTGTGTGTGTGTGTATATACACATCATCACATTTTCATTGTTAATTCATCTGTTCAAGGAAATTTACATTATTTCTTACCTACTGTGAATAGAGCAACAGTTAACATGGCTGAGGAATTGTGTGCAGTAGGATGCCCTTTGGGTTATGTCAAGGAATGGTATAGCTGAGTTATATGATAGATTTATTTTTAGCTTTCTGAGGATTCTCCACATTGATTGTTGGAATGACTAGACGAGTTTGCAGTCCCACCACCAGTGAAAGGTCCTGACATTCCTCCTTCTCCTCATCTTTGATTACATTTGTTGTCTGTTGTTTTGGTGATTTGCGCTATTCTGATTCGGGTAAGATAAAATATCAAAGTTGTTTTGATTTGCATTTCCCTAGTAGATAAGGATAATGAACACATCTTGATATTTCTCAGTCACCTTTATTTCTTTTTGAGAACTCTGTTCAGATTTCAAACCCATTTTTTAAATATAACCATTTGTTTCCTTGACTGTTTTTTGAGTCCTTTATTTTTTCTAGATATTAATACTTTGTCAGATGTGTAGTTGACAGAGTCTTTCCCGCTCCCTTGGATTCCTTTTTACGTGGTTGATTATTTCCTGTACAAAGGCCTTTAGGTTTTATGAGGTCCCACTTGTCAGTTGTTGGCCTTAATTCCTTGGAATGTAGATCCTGTTTAGGAAATCCTTTCCGACACCAGTGTCATATAGGACTGCCTATGTTTTCTTCTGTTTCAGTATTAGGTTTCACATTGAAGCCTTTGATTCATTTGGAGTTTTTGTGTAGGGTGGTAGATTTGGGTTTAATTTTATTATATGTGTAGACATTCAGTTTTCCCAACATATTTTGTTAAAGATGTTGTCTTTTCTCCAGTGTGTGTTTTTAGCATCAGACAGCTGTAGTTTGGTAGACTCATGTTTGGGTCTTCTATTTTGCTTAATTGGTTCATGTGTCTGTTCTGTGTCAGTGTTACGCTGTTTTTATTGTTATAACTCTGTAATATATCTTGAAATATGGAATAGCAATCCCTCCAGCATTGGCTTTTTTCTCAGGATTGCCTTGGCTGTCTGGGGTATTTTGTGGTTCTATATGAGCTTTAGGATATTTTTTGTGTTTTGTTTTGTTTTTCCTATTTCTGTGAAGAACTTTTGGGATATTTTGATTGAGATAGCATTGAATCTTTAAAGTGTCTTTGATAGAATGCTCATTTTTACAATATTCTGTCAATCCATAAATTGGAGGTTTTTCCATCTTCTAGTGTCTTCCTTAGTCTCTTCAGAGATTTAAAGCTTCATTGTAGAGGTCTTTGCTGCCTTGGTTAGGTGTATTTCTAGACATTTTCTTTTCTTTGAGACTGTTGTGTGAATTGTCATGCATTTCTTATGTTTCACTTTGGAGAATTTTACATCAGACTTAATTGTTCATATGTTGAGGCTTTCTGTAGTTTTGCTACTGAAAGTGTATTTGCCAAGTTTATTTTGATGAATTTCCAAGAAGGACTTGTCCTGGTATGTAATGGAATGGATTTATTTTGTGCATACTGTTGTGTTGATAAGTGGTTCAGTAATTCCTGACCACATGACAGTTTGTATTTAATTGTGCTTTGAACTTTGAACTGTAGGAAGGTTTGTTTAGTTTCTGTTTTTTACTTTGTTTGGTGTTCCTCTTTGGAGAGTATGATAGTTTTTTTTCTTTCCTGTATTTGAGTTTTAGCTTGCTTTGTGAAATTAGACTTTAACTCTTAAGGCATCAGAATTATCACTAAGTACCCATTCTGAATTTAGAAGATTTAGAAGTTTTAAGAGAGAAGTTCCCATTATATTTTATATGTGTGTTTGGAATTGAAATATGAGCTTTACTCTATCTTAATCTCCATGTTTTCATTCTGGACAGGAGAAGAGGCCTCGGAGTAAACTTCCCAGAGCCCTGAGAGGTCTCATGGGTGAAGCTAATATTCGCTTTGCTCGAGGAGAACATGAAGAGGCAATATTGATGTGCATGGAAATCATAAGACAAGGTGTTTTCTGCAGGGACTTTATTGATAATAGTTAACTGGTTGACTTTTATAGCAAATGGGGAAGCATTTGATTGTGCTGGTCATATAAAATACATTCAGAAGTGAGAGGTGACTGTGGTAATAGTAACTTGCCACTTTTCACAATGATAGCAGTTACTAGAAGATGGAAACCATGTGTGTGATTCAGTAAAAATCAGTATTATCTTTCAAATCTTCATTTTAGCTTTTTAAGACTTTTATAGCTTTAATCTTTTTAAGTCAGCCAGTTTATTCATTCATCCATCTGTCTCTATTATGTTGTGGGCTCAATCCACCTTTCTGCACTCTAGGCAAGTGCTCTCTCTACCAACTGAGTTATGCCCTCAGCCCTGTTAATACATACATACATACATACATACATACATACATACATACACACACACACACACACACACACACACACACACACACACATATATATATTTAAATGGTGAATGTATTTTGTTAAAACCATTTGAAAAACACTGATAAATTTCAGAATTTTTGATAGTCTTTTTGTCCCATTCATTCATTTGTTTTGGTTTTTCGAGACAGGGTTTCTCTATAGCTTTGGCTATCCTGAAACTTGCTCTGTAGACTCAGCTGGCCTCAAACTCACAGAGATCCACGTACTTCTGTCTCCCAACCCTTGGATTAAAGGTGTGCACTGCCACCACCTGGCTTGTCCCATTTTCTAGATTAGGCAGTGCTAAATTATTTTAATGTATCTTTTAGTAAAGATACATTTCAGTTTGTCATTTTACCTCTCCTTTACATGGCATATCTTAGGGGCATGTTCAGTAGTGACTATGACCAGTTGCTTGTCATTGGTTGCCATCAATTTGCCTACAGAGTGCCTGGGGTAGTTACACTGCTAATGCATTCATTCACTATTGTGACATTTCCTTTTAGTTAGACTTGGTCCTTTTTGAAGTCTTACACAATTTTCACGATTACTCTTTAGGGTAACTTATGGCTACTATGTATTAACTCAGACCATCAGAAATAAGATTAACCAAGAATATCTGTAGGATATATTCTTGCTTAGTTCTTATTTTCCAGTATTATATATTTAAGCTTATAACTATTTTGAAAAAACTTTTGACTTTGATCTCCAGAAGTTTTTGAGGTTTTTCTATAACTAATGTTTTTAGAACTATATATTAACTATTACATTGGACATCTCAGACTGGAGTGCTGCTTGGGTATCCTTTGTATGCATGCAGTCATCCTCTATGATTCAGGAGTTTTAAATAGTGCAAGTTCAACCACACTGATGTGACTAGTACTTTCTGGGTGAAATCCTCAAGTTTTAGGCCATATTTGACTTAAGTAAAAAGAGATTTTCCAAGGAAGGTATGCGGTATGCTAGAAAGGAGGGTTTTCATGAAATTGTATTTTGTGAAAATAATGCTTTAAAAATGATGTTTGGTATGATGGTGCTTGCTTTTAATTTCTAGAACTAGGGAGACTAGTGGGGAATCTCAGGTTCATGACCAACCTGACCTACATAATAAGTTTGAGGTCAGCCTAAGCTAGGTAGCAAGAGTCCATCTCAAAAACAAGTAAATTACAAATGGCTAAAAGTGTTTGAAAACAAAGTATAATAATCGTATTTTGTACTTTTCAAAGTTCTGTTGAATAGTTTTCATAATTCAGTTGGAATGATTTAGATAATTAGAAAAAAAATCTGTAGTTTGAACTGTAGTATCAATACCAGCTCAAGCCTATTCTTTTAGCCAATGAAGTTTATTTTATGTTATTTTTATTATTATAGCTCCTTTGGCTTATGAACCATTCTCTACACTTGCCATGATATATGAGGATCAAGGTGACATGGAGAAATCGTTGCAGTTTGAGTTGATTGCTGCACATTTAAATCCCAGTGACACAGAAGAATGGGTTAGGTTGGCAGAAATGTCTCTGGAACAGGATAATATTAAGCAGGCTATTTTTTGCTATACAAAAGGTAATGACATTTTTCTTGTATAGATGGGAAGTATTTTTCATGTTTTGTTTCTTTAGATGTTATATGATGAGTCATTAATACCCATCATTTGTTCTTTGTGTTATGTTGTTCTTTGTGTTACGTTGTTAGCTCAAATGTATTTTTTTTTTTTAAATCATTTAGAGGACTTTATATATGAGAACTGCATCTCTCTCTTTCCTGTCTTCCCTCTCCCTTCCAGTTCCTCTCATGTTGCCCTCCAAATTCAACTCATCCTCACCTCTTTATTAGACAGTGTATGTGGATAATAAATGTGTATGTATACATACATACATACATACATACATATGTATCCTGCTAAATCCATTAGCTTTACTTAATGTGAATGTGTCCAGGGCTAACCACTTGGGATAGGAAAACCGCCCTTATCCCTGGAGGAGACAGGTTCTCTTTCAGATGACTGATCACCTGTAGATCTTTTAGGGGTAGGACTGTGGAATTTTCCTTATCCATGTCAGCACATTCACTAGTGTTTTCATTATGCTGGTCTTGTTCAGGAAACCCTATTGTTAAGGGTTCATGAATGCATTTCCATGTCATGTCTAGGCAATACTATTTCACAGCAGGTATCCTGGGCCTCTGGCTCTACAATCTTTCCACCTCATCTTCTGTGATTTCCCCTGGGGCTTAGGTATAGAGGTTGTGGTTGCCATTACTATTAGTTACATAATAGTAGTTTCTTGCATTTATTGAGTTATGCTCCTTGCCCAAATGTATTTTTGTTCCTTATAGTCTGTTACAATATATATCTGGAGCCCTCTGTCCTCACGTATATTTGTGACTTACTTTATATTGTATTGAATATAACACAAACCTTTGATTTCCCACTGAGTTCAATGTTGTTCTCAGGCTGTTAACTTTTGTGGTTTGAGTGACCAAATGAGGATTATTGTAGAAGGTCAAGTCTGGTCTTAGACCAAGCCCAGTCAGGAATTCTTAGGAAGATGGATTATTTTCTTGTTTCCAATGGGAAAGTGTTTATTACATTTTTGAGGTAAGTCACATCTCTTTTGATATATATGTAATTTTTTATTTCCCTTCTCTTTTTAGCTCTTAAATATGAACCTACTAATGTTCGTTACCTATGGGAGAGATCAAGCCTTTATGAACAGATGGGTGATCATAAAATGGCCATGGATGGTTATAGACGTATTTTAAATCTTTTGTCTCCATCTGATGGAGAACGTTTTATGCAGTTGGCCAGAGATATGGCAAAGTAAGTTTGAAGTGAAATATATATATATGCCTCTATTAGTCATTTTGCAAATCAAAGCTATTTAAAATAGAATGTATTTTGCATTGAGATTCAAAGAACATTTTTGACTTTTGTGTTTCATATTGTCCAATTATAGTTTTTTAAAATTTATTTTATATAACAAAGTCCAATTAAATGAAAACAAACATTTATACACAATATTTGGGAATTTGGGCGTTGTTCTTTCCAAACTACTTCCTGCTGGTAAGGGGCTCTGTCATGGGGGAATTCGAAGAAGATTCAGAAATCCTGGCTGTAGTCTGTAAGACTGCTTTGTCTAGCTGTTTTGAATGTAGGATCACCTCGTACTCTGTTTCAGGCAGTCTGGCGTGATCAAACCACATTAGTCTGGAAGGAATCCACATCTTTTCATTTTCTGTGGAAACAAAAATAGAAATCCTTTTCCCCAGTAACTTGTCCTTGAACTTAAATTTTGGAGTCAAAGCATTTTTTTTTTAATTTAATTTATTATTTTACATGTCGATCCCACTTCCCTTTTCCTCCCTCCCTTCTTCCTTCCTTCCCTCCCTCCCTCCATCCCTCCCTTTTACCCTCTCTGCCCTCTCACATGCACTCTAAACACCCTCCCCTCCCATCCCCCCACCCCAATTCCATATGTAGGGGGATGCCATCCAGGTGGGGTCATGTAGATCTGACAGGTCATGTGAAGTAGGGACTAGGGCTTCTCTTCTGTCTCTAGATTAAGGCAGTTATCCCTCCATGGGGGATGGGTTCGCAAAGTTCTTTTGTGCACCAGGGATACATCCTGGCTCCACTGTCTGAGGTCCCTTAGACTGCTCAGTCCTTCTGGCTGAGACCCATATTCAGGGGGGCCTGAGTCAGTCCCATGCTGGCTTCCCAGCTATTAGTCTGGTGGCCCATTAGCTCCTCCTTGTTCAGGTAAGCTGTCTCTATGTGTTTCTGCCGCCTGGTCTTGTCCTCTCCATCTGCATCTGGGTTCTAGTTTGACTCTGTTTATGTATTGGTGTTTGATCCTGCTTCCAACAGGCATTAGTTGAGGGCTCCATGGAGAAGTTAGTTGTTGATCTCACTCTCCGGGAAGGGCATTTATGATAGCCTTTCCACGGAAGCTGAGATTGTTAGTTGGGAGCAGTCTTGTAGTTCTCTAGACCTTTCTTTGTGTTCAGTTTTATCTTCAAATCAATATTGGCTCCCTCTTTTATGTTCTCTCTCTCTGTCTCTGTCTCTCTCTCCCTCTTTCCTGTCTTCTATTCCTAACCAGGCTCAATCTTCCTGGTCGCACATGTTTTCCTTTCTTCCCCCTCGTTTTCTCCTGCTTCTCTCTCCATTCGCTGCCCCGCCCACTTCCCCTGAGCTCTGAGGGACTTTATATGAATCTCTTAGAATACACCTTGTATCCTAGTTCCTCTGGTGGTGTGAATTTTAGGCTGGTGATCATTTGATCTAGGTCTAAAATCCATATATGAGTGAGTACATACTGTGTTCCTCTTTTTGTGACTGGGTTACCTCATTCAGGATGGTTTCTTCAGGTGCCATTCACTTGCCTGCGAATTTCAAGATACCATTATTTTTTTTCTGCAGAGTAGTATTCCATTGTGTAGATGTGCCACATCTTCATTAACCATTCTTCAATTGAGGGGTATCTAGGTTGCTTCCAGGTTCTTGCTATTACAAATAGTGCTGCTATGAACATAGTTGAACAGATGTCTTTGTTGCATGGATGTGAATCCTTTGGGTATATGCCTAAGAGGGGGATTGCCGGGTCATGTGGTAAACTAATTCCCATTTTCCTGAGGAACCACCATACTGATCTCCAAAATGGCTGTATGAGTTTGCACTCCCACCAGCAGTGGAGAAGTGTTCCCCTTTCTCCACATCCTCTCCAATATAAGGCATCATTGGTGTTTCTAATTTTAGCCATTCTGGCCAGGGTAAGATGGTATGTCATAGTTGGTTTGATTTGCATTTCCCTGATAGCTAAGGATGTGGAGCATTTTCTTAAGTGTCTTCCAGCCTTTTTGATTTCCTCTATTGAGAATTCTTTCTTCAGTTCTGTACCCCATTTTTTAATAGGGTTATTTGGTGTTTTGTTGACTAGTTTCTTGAGTTCTTTGTATATTTTGGAGATCAGCCCTTTGTCGGATATAGAGTTGGTGAAAATCTTTTCCCAGTCTGTGGGCTGCCGTTTGGTCTTGTTGACTGTGTCGTTTGCCTTACAGAAGCTTCTAAGTTTGAAGAGATCCCATTTATTAATTGTTTCTCTCAGTGTCTGTGCCCCTGGAGTTATGTTCAGGAAGCGGTCTCCTATACCAATTTGTTCAAGGGTACCTCCTACTTTCTCTTCTAAGAGGTTCAATGTGGCTGGATTGATGTTGAGGTCTTTGATCCATTTGGACTTGAGTTTTGTGCATGGCGACAGACATGGGTCTATCTGCAGTCTTTTACACACCCTCATCCAATTGTGCCAGCACCATTTGTTGAAGATGCTTTCCTCGCCCCATTGTATAATTTTAGCTGTTTTGTCGAAAATCAGGTGTTCACAGGTACGTGGGTTAATATCATGATTTTCAATTTGATTCCATTGGTCTACCTGTCTATTTTTATGCCAATACCAGGCTGTTTTCAGAACTATAGCTCTGTAGTAGAGCTTAAAGTCAGGAGTGGTGATGCCTCCTGAAGTTCTTTTATTGTATAGGGTTGTTTTGGCTATCCTGGGTCTTTTGTTTTTCCATATAAAGTTGATTATTATCCTTTCAAGGTTGGTGAAGAATTGTGGTGGGATTTTAATGGGGATTGCATTGAATCTGTAGATTGCTTTTGGCAAGATTGCCATTTTTACTATGTTTATCCTACCTATCCAAGAGCATGGGAGATCTTTCCATTTTCTGGTATCTTCTTTAATTTCTTTCTTTAGAGTCATAAAGTTCTTATTATATAGGTCTTTTACTTGTTTGGTAAGCGTTACACCAAGATACTTTATGTTGCTTGTGGCTATTGTAAAGGGTGATATTTCTCTGATTTCTTTCTCTGTCTCTTTGTCGTCTGAAAAAAGTAGGGCTACTGATTTTTTTGAGTTTATCTTGTATCCTGCTAGTTTGCTGAAGGTGTTTATCAGCTGTAGGAGTTCCCTGGTAGAATTTATTTGGTCTCTTATGTAAACTATCATATCATCTGCAAATAGAGACACTTTGACTTCTTCCTTTCCAATTTGGGTCCCCTTGATCTCCTTTTGTTGTCTTATAGCTTTAGCTAGAACTTCTAGTACGATACTGAAGAGATATGGAGAGAGAGGGCAGCCTTGTCTTGTTCCTGATTTTAGAGGAATTGGCTTAAGTTTCTCTCTATTCAGTTTGATGTTGGCAGTTGGTTTGCTGTATATTGCTCTTATTATGTTTAGGTATGTTCCTGTTATCCCTGACCTCTCCAAGACCTTTATCATGAAAGGGTGTTGAATTTTGTTGAAGGCTTTTTCCGCATCTAGTGAGATAATCATATGGTTTTTCTTTTTCTGTTTGTTTATATGGTGTATCACGTTGATAGATTTTCATATGTTAAACCATCCCTGCATTCCAGGTATGAAGCCTACTTGGTCATGATGGATGATTTCTCTGATGTATTCTTGAATTCGGTTTGCCAGTATTATTATTGAGTATTTTTGCATCGATGTTCATCAGGGATATTGGTCTGTAGTTTTCTTTCTTAGTTGTGTCTTTGTGAGGTTTGGGTACCAAAGTTATTGTGGCCTCATAAAAAGAGTTTGGCAATGAACCTTCTGTTTCTATCTTGTGGAACAATTTGAGGAGTTGTGGTATTAGTTCTTCCTTGAATGTCTGGTAGAATTCTGCGCTGAATCCATCTGGCCCTGGACTTTTTTTGGTTGGAAGGCTTTCGATGACTGCTTCTATTTCATTGCGGGTTATAGGTCTATTTAAGTTGTTTGTCTGTTCTTGATTTAATTTTGGTAAGTGATAGTTATCCAGAAACTTGTCCATTTCCTTTGAATTTTCAATTTTTGTGGAATACAGATTTTCAATGTATGACCTGAAAATTGTCTGGATTTCCTCTGTGTCTGTTGTTATGTTCCCCTTTTCGTTTCTGATTTTGTTAATTTGAATGTTTTCTCTGTGCTTTTTCGTTAATTTGGATAAAGGTTTGTCTATCTTGTTGATTTTCTCAAAAAAACCAACTCTTCGTTGCATTGATTTTTTTTTTTTTGTATTGTTTTCCTGGCTTCTATTTTGTTGATTTCAGCCCTCAAGTTGATTATTTCCTGGCGTCTACTCCTATGGGGTGAATTCGCTCCTCTCTGTTCTAAGGCTTTCAGTTTGGCTGTTAATTCTCTTATGTGACTATCCTCTGTTTTCTTCATATGGTCACTTAGTGCAATGAACTTCCCTCGTAGCACTGCTTTCAAGGTGTCCCATAAGTTCGGGTATATTGTATCCTCATTCTCGTTGAATATTAGAAAGCCCTTAATTTCTTTATTTCTTCTTTGACCCAGGAGAGGTGCAATAGCACATTGTTCAGTTTCCATGAGTTTGCAGGTTTTCTGCTCTTTGTGTTGTTGTTTAATTCCAATTTTAAAGCATGGTAATCCCATAAGATACAGGGGACTATTCCTATTCTCTTGTATCTGTTGAGGTTTGTTATGTTACCTAGTATGTGGTCGATTTTAGAGAAGGTTCCATGTGGAGGAGAGAAGAAGGTATATTCTTTTGTCTTTGGATGGAATGTTCTATAGATGTCTGTTAACCCCAGTTTAGACATAACTTCTGTTAATTCTTTTGTTTCTTTGTTGAGTTTCTGATTTGTGGTCCTGTCTAGTGTTGAGAGTGGTGTATTGAAGTCTTCCACTATAAGTGTGTGAGGTTTTATATGAGCTTTGAGTTTTAGAAGTGTTTCTTTTACGAATGTGGGTGACTTTGTATTCGGGGCATAGATGTTCAGAACTGAGACTTTGTGTTGATGGATTTCTCCTG